ATTGCTCAATGATCCTTATTGTAATGAATCTATGTTTTATTCAATTCCTTTTGAAATCGTCATCAACAAAATCAACTAGTTTTAAAGTTTACAACGGTTCTTCAATTGTCAATTTAAAGAATATTTCAAGTATGGAAAATATATCATTAAATAATTATATCTGCGTTGAAATTGAAATTTCAAGGTAAGTGGAGAGAGAGAGAGAGAATATCTCTACTATTCAATCTTTACATTCATTCATTCAAAATATTATCCTTTCTTACAGCAAAATCATGGAAATTGTACTAATTATTGTAAATTTTACTTTAATGACGTCATTTACAATATATGAAATCTTTAATCATAAAAAGAATATAGGACTAGGGAAGAAAGAATTTGAAGGAATCAATGAGTCATCAATTTGCTACGCAGTCAATTCATTCTGTTATTTTGTTCTCGCTTTAGCGTTGATATTTAACGGAAATGGATTATATCAAACAATAGATTTACATAATATATGCAAATCCAATAATCTTACAACAATGTCAAGTTCGGCTATACTAGCCTATTTCTACTTTCGAATTCATGTCTTTCTGACCAGTAAATCCAAGAGTTTAGGCCTATCCGTTTCTTTTATGAATATCTTATATATCCTAATGTTTACAACAACAACAATCTACCTGCTAGACCCGATGTTGGATTATGTTAAATATGTAAATAATTCGACTAATGAGGAAATAAACTCATTCCAAGCGTCAAACTTATTGGCTTCCGGTAGGAAACAGGAAGTTTGTATTGATAGATTTCGGTTTGTATTTTTTAAATTTTTGAATTTTTAAAAATGTTTAAACAAAAAACACAGATACTACGATAATATTTTCAATATCTGGACTACCGGTTTTCACTTGTTCAAGAATATAATTGGAGCTGTTGCTTTGATTTATATGTCCCTTGCGCAATCATATCATCACGTGACATTTGCAATTGAAAACATTCAAATTATGGCATTAATACCATTTAAATTTTTACTGGATATCTTATTCTATAATGGTAAGATTGACTTTTGCGAAAATACGGCAAAGATGATAAGAGAATGCGATTATTCTTATCTAATATCGATGACAGTGCCGTGTTTCATTGCTGCCTTGATCATCATTATAAAAGGTTAGTTTTCAGGCAACAAATGAACGCAAAAAATGTATTTTTACCATAAATTTTAGGATGGAAAATGAAGAATCAAATCTTCAAGAAAACTATAAAAGAACCGGAAGTCTATTCGCTGGTTGAAATGTTACATCAGAATACTCCAGATAAGAATGATCTACTACTAAAGAAATCTTCCAACTGTTATCTACCTAAAGAGAGATTCACTACTCAATCGTACAAGTCGGATTGTTTGAAGTAACATTTGAAATATTTTTATATCACGTGACCCTTCATTCACTTGAAAATATTATCCTTTCAAAGATGAATAATAAATTTTCTGCTTTTGTATTAATTCAAAAATATTTAATATAGAATATGAATTATTGAAATTTGAATTCAAATATTTCAATAATTGTTGAAAATTCTCAGGAAAGACAATTGCACTTTCAAATATCAACTAGGAACTGCCAGTAATTTTCAAGAAAAAGTAATTCACGATGACAGCGACACCTAGCGCTTTTAGATGGTAGTATACTAAAAATATTATATAATATATTGTAGATATACTATTTATATTGTCCCCCTTTTTGTCATGTTCTCTATTTTCAATCAATCCATTTATTCAAAGAAATAGGGAATGTTGAAAAGTTATCCATACACCTTTATCAATGAATGCCTAATTTTGCCACCCACTCCGCCCATCTTATAATATAGAATAAGCCTTTAAGGAATACAGAAAACCTATCAAATTGAGATATTTGAAAGCAACAGAAGTAAAACATAAGGTATACTATGAATCTTAAAAGAAGAGCTTGAAAGCCATCTCCACGGTTAAGTTACAATATCCACCAGGTGTCACCACAGAATTTAAAAATATTCTGTTTTATGTCAATTACGGATAACATTGCTAGCGGAATTGTTTATCTTGTGAGAAAAATGACTCCCAAAAAATCCTCTAGTTTCTACTAGACGTTTTGAATATTTGTCAAACCAAGACCTTGATTGAAAATAGAAATCTTGGAATGCTATTGAAATCGCCTCACAGTACTAAAATTTCATACATTGATAGAATTGTTGATAAATGAATTAGAGTCAGAGAGAGAGAGAGAGAGAGAGAGAGAGAGAGAGAGAAGTGTAAGATTGAAAATAAAAAAAAATATATTGTTCTAGTTATAAAAAGGTCTTTTCTAATCATGGAATATTTTCATTTTGTTTTTCTCCATTAAATTGTATTGTTTTACAAAAGCAAATTGTTCTTTTTGAGTTTTCTTCCATGGTTAGTCTTAGTCTTGAATGTAAGAATAAAAATTTAAATATTCAAATATATTCAAAAAAAGAATCAGATGAGTTTTTTCTATTGTAGTGTATTGGTTTTGGGAAGGGTGGACGGTAAAAGGGGAAGAACATAAGCAATAAACTATTTTCTTTATAACTATTCTACTTAACCTATAGAGTCCCAGGCAGTTAAATTTTAAATTGGAAATGTTTGAATAATTCTCTATTCAATTTGAAATATTTAGTGCTTGAGCTTTTATTCTCTTTGCAATTTTAAAATGGTTGACACCCATTTCTGTTAGTGATATAAGTGCATTGAAATTACAATCTGGTTAAATCAAAATGTTGTCTATACTGGGCTACTTTCTCTCTTTTTCCATCTTCCTATCATCCAGTAAGTTTTAAGTATTTGAAATTCTTAATCTACTATTTCTTTCTCATACTTGTTCTTTTTAGCTATTCAAGCTACTTCAAATGATTTAGAAGTTCAGGCTATAGTTAAAATTGCAACTGAAGAGGGAACTGGATTTCATCTTGCAATTGTTAAAATTCAAGGCACTCCAACCTGCAAGTTTGTCTTTTTACTTTTGAATTGCAAAAAGAATTAGAATTAGTTGTTAATATTTTTTACCTTTAGTTTTACAGTTACAAAACCAGATATGACTGAAATACATCAAGGTGTTATAGAAGTTACTCAACAATGGAATAGCTACGATCTGCCAGATAGTATATTTACAAATATCACTGAAGATTTTGTAGCAACTCATAACATTGAATGTAAAGATGGAATTAGCTCTCTCTCCTTTAAACTTAAAACTTATGTCTATGCTAAAGAAAGTATGATGTCACTTTTTTATTAATCTAACAAAAAAACAAAATGGCGACTATTCAATACTTATTATTATTTTTAAAGGTTTATCATTTAATTCTGATTTCCCTATAAACTTAAAAGTTGAAAATAAAATTTCAAACATGGAACAATCGCAGAAAGATATAAATATTATAAGTGAAAATAAAGAAGTTGTCTGCAAGTAGGCCTAATATATATTTAAAATTTTGATAAATTATCTCGTTGTATTTCTATTACTTTTCAGCTTTTCTTTGACTCATCCAAGTAAAGCTACCATTGATAAAAATAGAAAAGTTTTCACACCATTTGACGACTTGCCTATTGTAGTTACTAGAATTGGTTCGAGTAAGTCAGCAGTAATAAGAGCTTCTTGTCTCGAAATTGAGCATTCCTTGCCACTAATCATTGATATTCCTGTCTATTTTACTCCTAATGCTGATCCCTGGGCTTCGGCAATAGGCGATCCTCACTTTAAACAATATATCCTTGATATATCAAGCTCAAAGATTATCCCTATATGTTATGACGTCACGGGCTCCCCAAACGATTATCTACATATAGCTGGCTTTTCTGAAGGTGAAATTAAAATCTATGGACAGTTGAAGGATGATTATTACTTTCATGAACTAATCATCAAATCTTGTGTTGATAGTATAACGATAACAACTCATGACATTTTTTTCCAAAATGGCAGCACATTGGAATGGAAAGACAAATTAACAAATTCCGTTTTCAAGTCTAAAATTTTTGAATTTCAAATTGTTGAGAATGAAATATTGATATCATTTTTAAAATATTCTTTGGTAGCGATTCATGTTGAAAAATCTGTTCATTCTCTATCTGAAAAGCATTTAAATATAAATTTGAAAGTATCACCGAATGATTATGAGAGAATGAATGGACTGATTGGAGATATTGGGAAAAAGGAGTATACTTTTTATCCAGAAGTTCAACCAGATCAAGGCAGCAGTTCAAAACTTGGATCAATTCTCATTGGCAAAAATTTAGTAACCGGAACTAAGAGTGATAGAGATGAAGTTGGTTGTTGGTTAATGAATGTTAATGATATTCTAAAACCATTCAAGATATTCAATTATCTACAAAAATCTATAAATTAACTTTTATAGTCTAAATTTTCCAAAATATCTTACAATTCAAATCAAATTATTATAATTCATTCAATTTTTTTCTTTAAATGATGAATATATATCTTACATTAGATATTTCTACACTAATGCCACCTACAATGCTTTTCCACTGTGAAATAAAAAGTTAAGATTTATTGAATTTTGTATTATTCTATGTTCAAAGAAATTTATATAGAAATTATCTTATGCTCTTTTATGATAAGAGTATCTTTGTGATTAGTTTGTAGAACATTACTTTTACTCAATTTCTAATAACTGGTATTAACATTTTTGGCCTAGGGGGAAAAGAAAAAAAATTAACTTTCGTAATAACATTCAGAGGTCAACTGTCCGGATCCCATTGATTTTTTTTATGATATCATATTTTTGTTCTCTCTTCTTGCACCTTAGAAAATCCTAATTCCTGAAAAAAAGCACATCAATTATTTCTACAGCTTAATTACCTTATTCAATTATTACTTGGATCTTCTGTAATTTACCTGTGTCCAGTGTAAAGCACATCTTTCAATGATTGACTCAGAATAGGTGGATGATAGTACTTTTGAAAGACCCTTTTCAAAGTGATATTTTTTAGTTTGCATATTGAATTCTTTTGAGAGTTACACTAAATTTTTATAATAGAAAAGTATTATTTTTTTTTTGTAGATCGAGACTAATAATGAAACATAAAAAATGCAAAATTGTGATATATGGGAGACAAGAAGGGAAACGTTGTGTTCTAAGGAATGAAACTGTTTTCTCTGTGACATCATTAACCTATTAACTAAAAGATATTTAGTTTTTTGACAAATGATAAACATATAAATTATATTTTACAGGTCTTCCTCAGGTTAGTAATATACTTGATATTAGTGTGCAATTGGTATCTGGAAAAAAAGCTATCCAGGTGTCCCTCACCTTGATCAGAGTACACAAAGTGTACTGTAGTAAAGGAAGAAAGTGCATGTAAAATACCATTTGAAGGTAACAGAAACTCTTTGAGTGAGTAAGCATAAAACATATATGTATCAAAACTTTGCATTTTACTCTCTCTGTGTTCATTCTAACAAGTTTTATCCTTAATATTTTTAATGTAACTTTTATGTGGTTTATAGATCTAAACTTTGCACTTTAGTTGTTTTAGTCTTTAAATGAAATTTATCTTCTAAAACTTTTTCTCTTTGACATACTTTTCATGTAAAAATATTTTCAAATTTCAATGTGTCTTTCTATGATATTTTTTTCAAATTTTAGGATATTCTTTCCATGGGACATTCTTTCCAATTTGGGATGTTCATTCCAAGAGATGTTCTTTCCATGGGATGTTCTTTCCAGGTCCCAATCAGATTCTATTTATACTACATCTGTATTAAGGATAATGCTCTACAAATTTACAAACCTTTTACCAAGTTTTTATCTTCTCATCAATTATTTTTAAATCCATTAAACCCAAATTCAGTTTGTAAATCTTGGATTCATTCTTATCTAGAGTTGATGATAATTTCAATTTAATAAGGGGTCAATTTAATTTCATTTATGATTTGAAGTAGAGAGAAACTTTATTGAGTTCATATTTTGATTTAGATTTCATTTTTGAGATTTTATTTTACTAATTCTGGAGTGGAAAGAAAAAATTATGAAAAAAATATTTGCTCCAACTGGAAGGTCGAACCCAAGACTTTTGTCTTATTAGCAAAATGCTCTAACCAAGTGAGCTATGGAAATTAATACACTTGGCTGTTGAATAGATAACCAAGTAACTCAGATTATCCTTCTGTGTTATTTTAAGAACAATGAGTTGGTGAAGGGTATTTTTTTTTTCAACAAAGTATCGTAGGATTTTTTTAAATATAAAATTACTAAAGAAAGGTATATATTTCATTTAAAGACAAGATTAACCTATATTCAAACTCTTTTGGTAGCTCAGGTCTAAAGGAGAGTATTATGAGCAAATATCAGAACCTTGGTAGTTGTTAGCCATGTGTAAACTGCAGGAAAATGATTGATTCCACTGTTTCTTTTAATCCTATAACTAAGTCAACAATTCTGCTCTTCTTGTTTCCAAAGGAGTAGTTTTAAAAGTTTTTTATCTTCTGAAATAGTGAAACCTCTATTAACAAGAGTTTTATCTGGTGGTACACAAGCTGGAAAATATCTTCTCCCATTCCGAGCTACAAATAAATAGGTTCGGCCCACTTTTGGACATTTTGGCCCAGTTTGGACATTTCGGGCCATTTTAGGACATATTCAGCCCATTCTAAGGCAATCACACCAAAGGCATTGTGTCTCACTTGAAGATAGGTTTAGTGTACTTTAATTGATAAATATGACAATTATAACTTTTAATTTTGTGAACAGTTATGTTTACTTCTTTAGTATAAAAAAAACAATTTGTAAATAATAAGAAGTGGTAAGTTTGAGGAATGTACATACTTTTTAATAACTGAA